AGGGAAAAGAAGAAATGGTAGAGAGTAAGCGCTCTCACACAGATAGAGAGAAAGCCGCCGAGACTCCCGAGGACAGTTTATGTCCAACTGTGGGGAATCTGGAAAGTTTCCTGAAGAGGTGATTTGAGTAGGTTTTAGAATGGAGTTCGAACAGGTGGAGGCGTTTTAGGGGACATTTCAGGTGTGGGGCATCGTGTCATCAGAGAAACAGAGCAGGTGTGTGTTCTGGGAACACGAGGCTCCTGTTGGCACAGGGGCGAGTGGTACGAGATGAGATTGGAAGGAGATCTGGGCCAGGTGTGGGGAGTTTCAGACGGCCACCTTAGGACTTTGGATCTAATTTTAGAGGTATCAGGGCCTCTCGTGGTTTTTAAGCTTAAGCCTCTGGTGCTTAATCTGGCAGCAGGGTTGGCAATAGAAAGTAGAGGAATAAAAGACCAGGTGAGAGGTCACATGGCATGATTGTGAGAATGGTGAGTTACAGGTGGAGAGCATCAGTTTGTGAGGCGGGATAGACACAGTCCAGGCACTGGATTTGTATCTCAGAAGAAGGTGTTATAAATGATGCTGAATATTCCGTCCTGGGAGAATATTGGTGTTATTAATGGAAGGAGGAAAAAAATGGGTTTGGGGCAGAATGTGAGTTCCGTTTATAACATGCAGAATTTTAGTTGTTGTCTGGATATCCAGCAAGATAAGCCCAGCAGACAGTTGGAGATGTGGGGCTCAACCTGGGGAGAGAATTTAGGGGGAGAAAGTGTACCATATGGTGTAAAGACATGAGATAGATGTGAGAAAGAATTCCTTGGTGCGTCTGTTACATACGGTGTTTATCTCATATGACCTGTGTGTGTGTGTAATGCCCATTGTGTATATATATGTACTGGTATCCTTATATGTGTACAGAATTCATATTACATATCTTATCCCTTTATGCATATGAGAAAAACCGAAGGGTAAAAGATCCTGTGCTCACGGCCACACAGCTAGTGAGTGGCAATGCCTGGGTTTGCACTAAGGATTGTTCGACCCCAAAGCCTTTGCTTTTCATTACTCAGGAGAAGAACAATATCTTTGAGAAATAATGAGATTTTACTCTTAGTGAAAAGAGGAGCCAGAAGAAGCCCAGACGAGTTCAGTGTCAGGGTGGTCAAGGGGTGTTGTCAGTGATGCCAGTTGCTGTCAGGAGATGGGCAAGTATGAGGACTAGTGGAAGGTGTGTTCTCTCCAAGAGTGAGATGTCTGTTGAGGGCAACTGGTAAGGCCTTAAACGTGTGAGTGTTCAGGAATGGATGATAATAAGTCTGGATCTACTTCCAGTTTTTCCCGTGTGACAGAAGAACAGATGGGAGGAAAAGTCAGAGCAGACGTGACAGGGCAAGGAAGGATGACGGAGGACCCTCACACCTGCGTCGTCCACGGCTTGCTCATTATTCTCATATTCTGATCACCTGTTAGCTCACAGCTGGGGTGGGGGCTGTCTTCAGAGGAACTTTGTTAAACAGGTGTGTAAAGAACCCTGTCGAGTTACAGGATCTGTTAAAATTGAGCCTGTTCTGCTATTTTATACATTTTTACTGTCATAAAAGAAATATATATTTATAATGTGACTCAGCCTTTTC